AGGCCCTGAACCAGCACCATGTGTAGCAAGGAGGGTACAGGACCAAAGAATAGTTTAGAGCCAAAAAACTAAATGATGAGGCAGATTAAGGTAGAGTCTGAGTGTCTGGCTTGGATGGTTGAGTGTGCAGTGACTCTGTTATTGGGAGGAGTACATTTATTAGAAACTATGACTTCTGCCCTGGCTGGTGTGGCTCAGTGGACTGAGCGCCGGCCTGGGAACCAAAAGGTCTCCAATTCAATTCCTAGTCAGGGTACATGCCTGGGTTGTGGGCCAGCTCCCCAGTTAGGGGCGTGTGAAAGGCAACCAATAGATGTTTGTCTCCCTCTCCTTCTCCCTCCCTGACTCTCTCTCTAAAAATAAATAAATAAAAATTTAAAAAATACAAGAAACTATGAGTTCAAGTTGAGACATGACTGATTTCTCTCCCTCCAACATCCACAACATCCAAAGCGATGGTACTGTCTGTAACTCACGGCTATTGATAGGCACTTGGGAGAGTCAACCACAAGCGCATAATTAGAACATAGAGAGCATGGGAGAGCTTCCAGAGAGAGAAGAGCAGTCGGTCAAGGACAGAGAGCTGAGGAACATGCGAGGGGGAGCTCCTGCTGGAGACCACACAGGGAACACTTGGACAAGTGGGAGGAAGACCAGGAGGGACAGAGTCACACATAGAGGCCATGGGTGGGGAGGTTTAAGCATTAAGGGGTAGGTCGACCCTATCAAGGGCATCAGAGAAAGGGATGAAGACTGCAGACGAGGGGATGGATAGTAAAGAAGTAAAGACGGCAACCTTAAGGGACTTTTTAAAGAACTTTGCTTGAAAAGAAAGGAGGCAAATCGAGTGAGGACTAGAGGCTTACACAGGATCAACAGAGGGGCTTGGGGTGGGGGTGGGGAAACTTGCACAAGACTGTCGGCTGCAGCTAAAGAACAGGGAGAGTGAGGGGGTAATTGAAGGCTCTCGGCCCCTGGGGAGAGAGGAGGAATGAGATTACGTACCCAGGAGGGAAAAGGCTGCCCTAGAACAGAACAGGGTTTTCCTTATCCTCTGAGAGTCCCACACCAAGGACATAAGGCAGATCTGTGTTGATGACAAAAAGGAGTCTACCAGTGATATATAGAGATGTAAGGATAAAGAAATACAGACATAATGCTATGCAATCTCTTTTGTTCAGTTCCTAATATTAGTATGGATTCAGAGATGTCAAAAGAATGGTCATCCCTGGTGAAACTGGCCAGGCCACACTGAGAACGTGCACGTGCGGGCCCCTTGGCACCGCCGCCCACGGTGGCAGGCTGCCTCCTCACCACCCCCCACGGCCCTGTGCATTGTGACCCAGTCCCCTCTACAAGGACTTCCTCCCTTTTGCCCTCTGTATCGCCAAGAGTGAAATAAATGGGTTGGATCAAAATCAGAGGCAGCAGTGTGTCTGTCCATTAACAGATTTATGGGTAAACAAATTGTTGTGTGGTTGTACAATGGAATATTACGCGGTAATAAAAAGGAATGAGTTTTTGATATGCTCACCAACATGGATGAATGTCTGAATAATTATTGTGAGTAAAAAAGAAAAAAGTGAAACAGACTGCCTCTCCCCAAAAAAGAGTATATACTGTACGATTCCATTTATATAAAATTCTACAAAGCGCAAACTAATTTATGGTGACAAGCAGATCACTCGCTGGTTGGAAATGGGGGACAAGTACTGGAGAACGGTGGGAGGGAGAGGCATGAGGAAATTTGAGGGCACGAAGCGTGTGTTCACCATCTTGATTGTGGTCCTGGTTTCACAGGTGTATAAGTGTGTCAAAACTTATCAAATTGTACACTTTATATGGGTTTTATTGTATGTCAATTATACCTCAATAAAACTGTAAAAACATACAATCATAAAATGATCTCTAGGTGACTTACAATGGCCTTCCAACTCCATTCGCTTTTTCCTGTTGGAGCTCTTTATAGAACTCTCTCTAGGAAACACCCTGAGGCCCAGGCGAATGTCCTTTCATTGTTAGAAGACACTAACCCTGGTTTTTCGAACAGGAAATGAGAGGGGAATGTTCTAAGCAGCCCCCTTACTAATGAACAATAGAGTCACTCCTCCTTCCCCAAGACCATCAACCTTGTGCTGGGATTGAATGTCCTGAAAGACAACCTCTATTTTCTGTTTAGGGCATCAAGTCAAGAAGAACAAGCAAATCTTGTGACATAAGTGAGCTGGAGCCAAACATTTGAAGAGCTGCCTAGTTCCTCTGGGGCAAACCCAGTGATTCACGAAGAGGGCTCTGAGTGTGAGAGGCCGGGTCTCCTCTCTCTCTAGAGCGACTCTCTCACCAGTTAGCCTGTCTGAGCGTTCACCAAGCAGACAGCGAGGTGGGTGACTGTGGTGGGGATTGTTCCTTTGTACCCTGCTGCAACCTGCGACGGCAAAATGAACTGGCCCAACTTACAGTTTCGCAATTTCTGACCACTGGGCTATATTCCTAAAAGGTTCCACGTGAAATAAATGTCGAAAGTGTGTGTGTGTGTTAGGCTGACTCATTATTTTCTAATTCATCGACTATAATGAAGAAATAGACTTGGGCCATATGAATTCTGCCTTTGCAATCTACAAGCTTGTGATCTTGGGCAACCCTTAACTTCTCTAAGCTGCAACTTCCTCCTCTAAAATAGAGTTGAACTCCAAGGGCTGACCTCAAAAGTATATAAATAGAAAAAAGCAAGGGCCTGGTACATAAACAGAACTCAATAATGCTTTATGAATCTGTATTATAAGTACCTGTTTTGTATTATAAATATCAGTACCACATAACTTTGAGTTTATCTTTCTCTCACCGTCTGTCACATAAATAATCTGAATCCACAAACAGGTAAGAATACATAAAGGGAATGTGCTATTTAAAACAGCAACAGCTAATACAGGGAACCTTTAAAATATTGCCAACATGGCATGTGCTTTTCCTAATCAGTCATTTCATCCTAACAACAATCTTATAAGGCTCATACTATTATTATTACCCCCATTTTACATATGAAGACCTGAGGCACAAACAGACGAAGTCATTTTCTCAAACTCACATGGCTAATAAGAGGGGGTGAGAGGGTGGACAGGGGGTTTATATTCAGGCAGACTGACTGTGGAATATCTGTGCTCAGCCATTATACTGCAAGTTTTTTTAAATAAGTGGATTCTTAGGCACATCTGTGAAATAAATCATCACAGACTTACCTGCCTGATAACTTTGGATACCGTGTCATAACAATCACAGGTCTCTTAAGGAAGGGATTTTCAGAAAGGTTGGAGCATGATCTACTGCAGTCTACCTCCTGCCCAGGGGCAGGGCCACAGCTAAACTAGTCAAGTCTGCTAAAAAGCCTCCTGAGAACAAAATCCCACTTCTGCTCATAGTTCATTACCAAGTTTAATAGTCAGAAAATTCTTAAATTACAACTCATTTAAATCCTTTATGCTTCAGGCTAAGCGCCATTCCTTGTTCCTGATAAACCCCAATATTTCCATTCCTCTTACTCATTCACTCAACTACAAAGTAAACATTTGTTAAGCACATAGTCTGAGTTATATCACTAAACAAGTTCTGATAGGATCAGTCGGGAGCCTGGCCAGATGGGGGTAGGGAGGATTTCCAGGGACGAGGGGTGGAGAAGACAGGCCCTCATTCGCGGGGATGGGCACAGAGCAGCACCACGCAGCCCAGCTGTGTGGGTACAACTATGTGATGCTGAAATTTCCCAACGAAGACTCATCCAGAGCAAACCCAGGGTGATCCCAAGTGAATCCCAAGCAGGGATTCGCTAACCCTACATTTAGGGTTAACCCTAAATGCCTGGATCCCTGCTAACCCTACATTTTCCTTTTTCCTGGATCCTGAATCTAACACCATCAGCTTGCCACCCACCTTGCAGAAAAGCTTTTCATTTACTGAAGACTATGATTAAGCAGACCCTTTCTCCTCTGCAAACAGAATAACCTCAATGGTTGAATGAGAAATGGCCCAGTGTGATCCTGCCGAACAGTGAAGGCGGTGTACAACCTGAGGCCCTTAGAGCAGGAGACACAAAGCCTGGAGCCTGGTGCTGGTTCCACTGTTCAGTCTGTACTTACTGAGCACCTAAGTACCCAGCATGCTCAAGGGAAGAAGCGGTCCCTGCCCTGAGAACTTACAGTCAAGTCAGGGAGACAAGGAGGTTCACAAGCACCTAACTTGTCACCAGTTAATTAGGCTTCTGGTGTTAAGGAAACGCCAAGAAGGCTTTCATCCACTATTAGCCTCGTACTGAATTTAAATTTTGACCACTAAAATTGGAATAATAGTTCCACCTTAATCTACTTTATGATGCCGTGGGGACCCCGAAGGCTAAAGCTCCTACAAAAGCATGCAGGACAATTGAAGGTAGGGACTGTTGATCAGCGACATCCCTGACGTCGCTGATCAACACCTTTTAAAGGGGCTGATCTGCACATTAAAAGATGTGTTTCGTGGAGGGGTGCTACAGAACAGTGGCGAGCAGAGGGCTAAAAACTGTTGCAAATCGCTAGTACCTGCTCCGAGGGGGGCGGGGGGGGGGGGTGTAGACAGTCATGCCCTAACGTGGAGGGGAATTCGGAGCAATCTCCCAAGTCAAAACGTCGAAAAATGACAAGCTCAGCACCGCTGGCGCCCTCCCCGGGATCATTCCCCAGGCGATCCACACCACCGCCACCCCTGAAATCTTAGACCCAAATCCCTGACCGCCCGACCCTTGTCGCTGGCGCTCCCTGGCGGCCACCCGCGGGCACTGACCATTCGGAACGCGGGGGCGGAGCTAACAAAGTAGGGCGGTAAGGGGGTGTGGTCTCGCGTGAACTGAGGCGTCATCGAAGCGACGGACCCGGAAGGAAGTGGCGGGCGGAGGGGTGTGGCCGTTTCTGCGGTTGCTCGGGGGTTCGGACCGAGTACGGAGCGCCTGGAGGGACAGCCGGGTACGCGGCCCCCGCCCCTTAGTGCGTGCACTGGGCCTAGCTGCGGTTTCTGGCCGCGCTGAGGAGTGATACTCCCCGGCCCTCCGCCAGCTGCCTCTTCCTCAGGATCGAGAGAGCCACCCCTCTCTCCAGAATCTCTTTCTGTCCCTAGCTCCCGAGCGGGACCGAGCCGAGGCTCCCGGAGCCCCGGCTCCTACCCACAGCTCTTGGGATGCGCGACCTTCTCTCGGAAAGGGCGCGAGGTGGGGCGGGGGTTACCACCTCGGAGGAGAAGGACGCAGCTGCAAATCCGTAGCTGGAGGCCGCCTCGGTGAAATAAGCGCCTCGCACGTGTCTGCGCCCGACTTCTCTTAGATCCAGGAGGCAGAATCCACGCCCTGCGCGGGTTGGCCCAGGCACGCCTTACCGTGAACTTTGGTGTCAGTTACCCTACTTTTTCCAGATCATTCAGTGTTCGGGAAATAAGTCTCTAGATCTCAACTCTTTTACATCCTGGTGCCCGAACGCAGTTGGACCCAGGAGTCCAGAATCTTCCCACCTGGGGAACCCCAGTTCTCTAACCATGGGTTTGGGGACCTGTCGGGTACAAAGTAACAGGAATGTGGGAGGGAGTGTGCTTGCGTTCTTGTTCAGAGCCCTCTCTCATTTGTGGCCCAACGTGTAACTGGGAGCAGGCCAGAGAGTCCCACCTTGGAACTCTTCGCCTGACAGCGAAGAGTCTACGCCTGCTGCCTCTGTCGCTGCAGCCTCCAAAAGAATAAATAATTCAAAGTTTCCTTTGAAGTGGCAGGCAGTTAGGACCGGGGGAGGCTTTGACCAGAATTACAAGCCACAACTGCCTGTCACTCGACTTCCTCTGTAATTTGGGCCAACACACTGCAGCTGCCTCTTTTTCCTTTTACTAAATGTGAGTGGCCCAGGGATGGCCCATTCGTGCTCATAGGAAGAGAAGGCTGCGTTCTGAGCGCTGCCCAGTTGGCACTGGTTCTCCCTGGGGAGTAGCTGGAGCCACTGCCCGTTCCACGAGCTGGGGAACAGAATTCCACGATTAAGGAATGGGAATGGTGCCTGGGAGCAAGGACAGAAAAGAGTTGTAGATCTAACCTCGGGTTCATGCTGCTGCGGGCTGGATCGGAGCCGCCTCCAGCGAGCTCCGCTTGGTGAGGTACTGTGGCTGTCCTAGCTTGGCCGCTGCACCGCAGACCGAACACGTTTTCCCGTATCTTTTCCCCCAGGATAAAGGTTCACGGATGGCTCAGTTGGGAGCAGTTGTGGCTGTGGCTGCCAGTTTCTTTTGTGCGTCTCTCTTCTCAGCTGTGCACAAGATAGAAGAGGGACATATTGGGGTCTATTACAGGTAAGGCAGAGGCAGGGAGAAGCTCACAGCTTCCTGTTAAATGACTCTTTCCTAGTCAGGGCAGAGCAGGTTCTGCTGAATATCTACGTGTAGGTTTTACTGAACACGGACGTCTTTCAGGTTGAGCTTTTGTGTTGGTGGCCATGAGGAGGGAAACACGTGTTGTATGTGTGCAGGCACACACATAACTGTAAATCTCAAGTCTAGCATTCTAAGTTGATGGATGGTGATTGGTTAGTGTATATAGAGATTTAGAGACAAAACTGAAGGTAGCTAGTGCTCCTTGCAGATTATCTCTGAAACATTGTTCTCTCCTACATCCCTCTCTGCAGCTTGGTGCCACAAGGTTGCCTCTGATGAGGACCAGTTCCTGAAGGCAACTGGAGAAGGCAGCCTTGCTCTGTGAATTTGCACCTACTCTTTAAAATTAACATTTCAGGAACAGTGAACGAGCCTGCAGCTAGATTTATATTAATCAAGGAGCACTTAAAAGTCTTGGGCTACCTTCCTTTTAGTAACTTCCATAACCAAGTTTTTTGCTTTAAGTTTTTATGACTTTCTTCTGCCCTGGCTGGTGTGGCTCAGTGGATTGGGTGCTAGCCTGCAAACTGAGGGGTCACTGGTTCGACTCCCAGTCAGGGTGCATGCCTGGGTTGTGGGCCAGATCCCCAGCTGGGGGCGTGAGCGAAGCAACCAATCAGTGTTTCTCTCCCACATTGATGTCTCCCTCTCTTTCTCCTTCCCTCTCTCACTCCCTAAAAGTAAATAAATGAAATCTTTTTTTAAAAGTCTTTATGACCTTATTATGTGCCTTATGATGCTTGTTTCTGGGTTTCTTATACCCCTTTAATTATTTCTCCCTACCTTCTGCTTATATGTCACCAAAAAAAGGCTTTTTATTATCATTTACATACAACTTGACTAGAAAGATAACTCTACTGCCAAAAATACGTTAAAATGATCTGTAAAGTGTACTTAAAATTATTCTTTTGGTGTCGATGTCACTGGAATCCAACATTAGTGCAGTCAGTTGATAACTGAATTACTGGATTTAAGTGCCTCAATGGATAGCCACAAGTTCAACGGTTACTACAGAGTAAAACAGACTTCCTCTCGAGTATAGCTGGGGATGCTGCTGTCTTTATTCCACTTAGCCTATGTGCCTATTTTCCTCAGTGCAAGAGCATGAATTGTGGTTTTATGTTTAAGCATTGGGCTTCCTAGAATATTAGGTCCACCTGGGAGGAAGAGAGGGATCTGTGGACATGGCTCTGCCACTTGTCACTCTCTGTTAAACATTTATACTTTGGGGAACGTTGCCCAAAGAGTATCAGCGTGAAAGGTACCTCCTGCTAAATGAACTTCCCTCTCTCCTCTGCAGAGGCGGCGCCCTGCTGACTTCCACCAGTGGCCCTGGTTTCCATCTCATGCTCCCTTTCATCACATCGTATAAGTCTGTGCAGGTGTGTACTGGGCTTGTGCAGTAGGGCCGGACAACTGCAGATTGGGGGTGTGACTAATGCATGATTTGGCATTACTTAGCCATTGGACGAGTATACTGCCTTTCCAAGGAATCATTTAAGGATCAGTTTTATGTATAAAGAATGAGGCTCCATGAGCCATTAACTCTAGAGCTTTATTTGATTGTTGAAAGAGCTGATTGGGGTCCTTGCCTTGGCCTCTCAGCCCCAACTGGGAGCTGTTTCTTCACTTCAAGACAAAACCAGAGAAGAATCTGTTTTGAATGTGTAGAAGGACAAGTAGGGTGTATGTGTCTGTGTTTTACATCACAGGCTACCAAGGTAGATGGAAACAGAATATGGTCATTTCGCTGGTTCTTATTTGGATTTCAGAGACGTGAACATCATTTTTGGGAAGGACAAGGGACATTGAACTTAGCGAAGGGAAATGACATCTCAAATAGGAGTAGGATTAGTTATGACAGAGCTAAAGCCTAGCTAACTCAGACCCGCTGTCTTTGAAGTGTGGCCAGTATCCTGGGACACCTCCTCAGCATTTTCCTTGTAAGTTTCTTCTGCCATGAACTCTGCTGTGTGGTTTTTAAAGTGCACACATGCCCACACATTATCTCATTTGGACCTCACAGTAATCCTGAGAATGGGCTGAGCAGGTCTCATAGGCGGAGACAGGTTAGGGTAAGGAATCTGTTTCAAGACCAGTAAATGGAAGAGGTAGAAATAAACACAGATCTGAGGATTCCTAGTCCAGGGCCCTTTTCACTAAACCATTATTTCTACGCAGCTCGTTCACATCGTGGTTCACTTGCAGTGGAAGCTGGCTGGGCACCTTTGTTTGGTCAGTCTCACACCCTGTTACTCAGGAGGAGATGGAAAGGTGTTCATGTTTGTCAGAGACAAAGTTCAACCCAAATAGATGTTCAAGGACAAGACCATTCAGAATTCCAAAACTCAGTTACTTTTTTCGTCACTGCCGGTCCTACAGCATTGTATGTCTCCTCTGTTTCCAGACCACACTGCAGACAGATGAGGTGAAGAATGTACCTTGCGGGACTAGGTAAGGTGCCTGGAATAAAACCGTTAAGGCCAAATGAGAGGAAGGGCTGGTGGGCTGGTTGCAGTACGAGACGGTGAACAGGGAGATACCCCCTGCTTTTACCAAGTGTCCTGACCACTGGCCCCCTGTGTTCTGATTCTACTAGGTGGTGGGCTGCAGTAGAGAGAATCACGGAAGCTGGGTTTGGGCAGGCCTCGAATGCCGTGAGAAGTCTGGACTTTTTCAGTTAGAAGTCAGGATCCTCTAAAGGTTTTTAGCAGATAAATGTCTTCACAGAGGAAGATAACTTTAGTATAACTAACTATAGAGAATGGCTCAAGGGGGCTGGGGCCTTAGCGGCAGGAAATCCAAAGATAACATCACTACGGGGGCCTCAGAGGGCCGCTGAAAAGGAAAGAAGGTCTAACCTGGGACAGAGTCACAAAGGAAACACCTCAGGAAACATTTGGGCAGACCCGGAACTGGGACGCCCCACAGGATAATGGGTCTCATCTTGGCACAGAGTTGTATTTGGAGAGGCATTGGGGTGAAAAGGAAACTTAAAAGACAAACAAATGTGATGGTGAGCCTTAATTGGAACCTGGTCGAAAAATAACAGCCGTGAAAGACTTGATGAAATTGTGTTAGTCTGTTTGGGCTGCCGTGACTGGATGGCTTAAACAACAGAAGCTTACTTTCTCACAGTTACAGAAGCTCCAAGTCCAAGCTCAAGGCGCCTGAGGGTTGGTTTCTGGTGAAGCCTGTCTTCCTGGCTTGCAGATGGCCACCATGCTATGTCCTCAAATGGCCTTCTGTCTGTACATTAGAGGAGAAAGCGACTCTAATGGGAGTTGGAGTTTCAACATAGGGGTTTGGGAGGGACACCGTTCAGTCCATAATAGGAATCACTGAGGAGATGGGAGTGACTGGGAGTTTAGTAACGTTAAGGAGTTACTGCTGATTTTCTTAGCTTTGGGAATGGTTTTGGGACTCTGGAGGAGAATATCATGACACCTGGGTGATGTTGCCAAGTGTTAAGGGGTAAAGTATCACGAGTGCAACTTCTTTTGAAGATTTCAGAGGAAAAAAGTAGATTCATCAGCAAGGTAAAATGTTAACAACGGTTAAATTTCAGTGTTGGCAAATGGGTTTTAGTTCAACTTTTCTGTGTCTTTGAAATTTCCGTTTAACAACTAGTGGGAGGAAAGGGGGAGCGCTGAACCAGCGCGCTGGTGAGGACAGCGTGAGGAGACGGCCCCCGATTCCACGCGACCTTTATGTTGTAGACTCCTCGACCTCCTTTAGTCTTTTTCCTTCAATCGTTGTTGTCAAAACGATTGCAGATTCAAAGATACAGACCACTCTTTCTTTTCTTACTGGTATGTCAAATGTTTTGCTTTTTCCTTTGCAGAATTAGGGGGTGTGATTTCTTGGGAGGTTGTGTTCTTGCTGTAAGTTCGGAAGCTCCTACTTGTAGAGCCATGTGCCTTCCGACCTCTCACGCACGCTGCTCCTTCTCCCCCGAGTCGCGTGTCAGGTCACCTAGGAGACCGCACTATACCCCAGAGCTCCTTAGTGACCTCTTTGTCCATCCTTCCTCTCACAGTGGTGGTGTGATGATCTACTTTGACAGAATCGAAGTGGTGAACTTCCTGGTCCCGAATGCAGGTATGTTTTTCCACTTGAGCCCCCCCCACCAGCTTACTGTCCCCAGCATGCCACCCCAGTGTCTGTCACAGCACCTCAGGAAGGGAAAACTGCTCCATCCGAGCAAGCCTTCACTGTCGCCTTCTCTTGTTCTGAACCCCCTCCCCACCCAGTGTATGACATAGTGAAGAACTACACGGCTGACTATGACAAGGCCCTCATTTTCAACAAGATCCACCACGAACTGAACCAGTTCTGCAGTGTGCATACGCTCCAGGAGGTCTACATTGAGCTCTTTGGTAAGAAAGTCTCTTCTGCTCAGAGCCCGCCTTAGCAGCCCTCCTCCCCCACTGCCTACTTCTGAGCTACCCACGGGGGCGGGTGGGCGCTGCTGGGCCAGAGGGGTTAAAGGGTCCAGTGCTCAGGAACTGGTCACGAGGGGGCATTCCTCAAAAATGCCAGTGACCATGGAAGAGGGAGAGAGTGGCGGAGCTTCGGGCGCAGGAGTGACGGTGGACTACGGACTCACTCCTGGCCCGAATCAGAGGACTGGAATGGACTGTGTTTCCATGGTCCCTAAAGCCTCGTTCTGAAATAGAGACAGGCTCAGTTCTAGAGGAACCCTAGAGATTATCCAGCCCAACGTCCTTGTTTTAAAATAAGGGTACCGATGCGCAGAGAAAGTCATACAGCTGGTTGGTAACAGCTGAAGCCAGAACCTCCCTCGTGGGGACCTCACTTGGTGTGCTTTCCACCACGTCACACTGAGTGAGAGACACCCAAAAAGGCCGAGGGGAATGGGACGGCTCACCTTTAATTCTACAGGTGGGACAAGGACCAGAGCTGCTTGCAGTTCCCAGAACCTTTGTGGGGGGGTTTGTTTGTTTGTTTACCCTATACCTATGGAGATGAATAGGAAAAACTAAAAGGATCCACACACTTAAGTAGACATTTCTTGTCCGTTTACCTAGTCAAAGTAAACATAGCCTAACTTTAGCAACGAAGAAAGAAAACATTTCAGTAATTGTTATAGCTCTTTTGTGGTAAAACGTTCTGTTATAAACTTACTGCTAGAAGCTTTCTAGAAGTGCTACCAGTGCTAGAAGTAAGTGGATTTTTCAGCCCATAGCACAACTATTCTTGATACTAGGACTAGACAGTGATTTTTCCCCAAGAATCTCTGTAAAAAGGACCCTGAGTGAGAATGTTTTTTAGAACAGACAGACAGAGGAATCAGCCCTGGCTGGTGTAGCTCAGTGGATTGAGTGTGGACCTGTGAACCAAAGGATCGCGGTTCGATTCCCCGTCAGGGCACATGCCTGGGTTGCAGGCCAGGTCCCCAGTAGGGGACGCATGAGAGGCAACCATACATTGATGTTTCTCTCCCTCTCTTTCTCCCTCCCTACCCCTCTCTCTAAAAATAAACAAAAAAATCTTAAAAAAGAAAAAAAGAATCACTGACATTGCCAATGACCTTAATTAAGCAAACAGCCTTTTGCGCTGTTTCAGATTTGAGAAACCATCAGAATCACTTTTAATTTTCAGCAGTAGAAAATGAATATAAATTCACTCTATAGGGTTTAGATTATTTTAATATTGTGGGGGGTTTTTAATATTTTTTATTTATATATCTTTAGAGGGGAAGAGAAGGAGAAAGGGAGAGAAACATCAATGTATGGTTGCCTTTCATGAGTCCCCTGAAGGGAACCGGCCTGCAACCCAGGCATGTACCCTGACTGGGAATCGAACCTCGATTGTCTGGTTCGCAGGCCCGCACTCAATCCACTGAGCTACACCAGCCAGGGCAGGTTTAGATTATTTTATTAGGTTTGAATTCACTGTGCTTTTAGGGAAAATTTGTTAAATTTGCTATTTTTTAACATCAAACAGAACTTTATAAAATATCACTTATTTTCTCTCTAGCTATTGTTTACCAACTTGTACCATTAATTGTACATTTCAAAGCATTTGAAACAACAAAAAACAAAGGATCTCTAATTGCCATGAAGAGGAAATTAAAATGTGAAATTGTTTTGCATTAAAAAATTTTTTATTGCCTTGGAGATCAACATGGTAGCTTAATGAAATATAGTTTCTTGTATTGTACAGAGGCACTGGGAAATATATTTGCTTTGAAATTTTTTTCTTTTTAAAGTTCGGTCTTGTCAGCAGCACCGTTTTGCTAAGAATATATTTGCATCCATAAAGGAGAGACTAGAATCTCTAATCCTATTCCTTAACCATCAAGGTTTTTTTCTATTGTAGTTCCCTCCTCTCAGCACCCCTGGCCCTGACTTTGAACATGACTGCATGATTCTCATCCCTGCTCACTCTGCTGCATCTTCTTTGCCCATTTTATGAAAATACTATCCAGCCCTGGCCAGGTGGCTCACTTGGTTGGAGCATCGTCCCATACACCAGAAGGTTTCGGGTTCGTCAGGGTACACACCTAGGTTGCGGGTTCGAACGCTGGTCAGGCACGTAAAGGAGGCAACCAGTTGATGTTTCTCTCTCTGTCTCTCTCCCTCTCTCCCTCTCTCTCTTTCTCAAATCAGTGGAAGAGCCTGACCAGTGTGGCTCGGTTGGGCATCATCCCACAAAGCAAAAGGTTGCTGGTTTGATTCCCGGTTAGGGCACATGTCTGGGTTGCAGGTTCAGTCCCCATTCAGAGGGCATATGAGAAGCAGCCGATCAATACTTCTCTCTCATCTTGATGTTTCTTTCCCTCTCTTTCTTTCTCCCTTCACCTCTCTGTAAAAATAAACAAAATAGATTTTAAAATCAATGGAAGAAAAACTTATCCTCCAGTGAGGATTAAAATGTGTATGTGTGTATATATACACATATACTATATATGTAACATATATATGTTATATATATATATATGTGTGTGTGTGTGTGTGTGTGTGTGTAACCTAGTATTTGTTCAAAAGTTTACCTGAAGAACTTGGTGTATACTTAATAATATATCTTAGCCGGCATTCATTAGCATAACTATAACATAAACAACTTATCACCAGTGTTACTCTGGTAAACCACCTTTCAAAATATTTCCTTCAGATTTTTCTAGAAAGTTACTAGCCCACGGCCACAGGTTTCTACCTCAACTCAGATATAACTTGGTCTGATAAACGACTGTGATTAATAACTTATGGAGGGTACAGGCCATCTGACTTAAAGTCTGATGGGCGTCCCATTTAGAGTAGAAACTATGGAACGTAATGCTCATCTCTAGCCATCAGATTGTTAGACCAGTGTCAGGCACAAGGTCCTGCCTTTATGGGCATTTCTCCTGCAGAGCTGAGAGCCTCGTGAGTGCATATCCAGTACATGGAAATGTTAAAACCCCTTGCTCACTGATACAACGATTGAAAAGGTACCGTTTTAAGCCCTAAAAATCAAAACATAGTAATTAAGCAAGTTCATTATTTTGCCTACTAACAGGCTTGAGCACATCTCAACCTCTGTAGATCTCAGTCTGGGCACCTATAAGAGGCAGGAGTTAGATTTGCTGTTTCTCAGAGGCTCCTATTTGGGCACAAGTGGCCAAGAATAGCCACTTAAAGCAGATGGCAGCTGACAGTGAGGGAGGTGATGGATTCAGATGCCCCAGCCTGGTTTCATGGTGTCTTTCTGTCGGTGCCCTTCTGGGATCTTACTTAGGATCTTAGGCCAGAAAAGGCAGCCTGGTGCTGCGGTCCTGTGACCGCAGCTAGAAGGGGGATCGGTTCTAGTTCTTCCTACACTTGTCTGTGAAATGACTCACATGCGAATTCCAGGCAGAGGAGTCGGGACCAAAGCAAACAACACATCAAAAGACTTGGGCTCATTTCCAGGACTGTAAATTTTTATTTTCCCCTTGTGTTATTTGATGGAGATCCTAATGGAAATAGTCTTCCTTGGGGCTACCTTGACGTCAGAATCTGTTTTTCTTTTGGGAACATTTAAAATTGTTAGATTTAATGTGCTCAGCTCCTTTCAAAATACCTAACATAGCCATTCCATCTTCTTTCTTCGTGAAAACCGGGTGCCAGCCTTCTGTTTTGCTCCTGTTACCTGGAGAAAGGCTGCTGTCTGATCCAAAAAAAAATGTGCTACAATTGTTGTTAGTTCTTTTTTTTTTAACTGTTTCCTTTGTGGGGAAGTTGATATTTTCAACAGCCTGGGTGATTCTGTCCAGAGACCACAGCAGAAGGAGACTTTCATGTCGGGCCTATGTAGAGGGACTGCGGAGGCAGGCTTCCCCGAAAGTCTTGCTGGGGCACTTCCGGTGTCTGAGCTGTGATACGCACTTTGCCTAGGGAAGGCCTTCTGCTTGGGAGATGCGTTCTCCAGCAGGTATTTTAGCTTTACTTCATTCCTCCTGCCTAGAAAGCATGACAACCCCTTTTTCCTGTCTTTCCGGGTTGCAGATCAGATTGATGAAAATCTCAAACTGGCTTTGCAACAGGACCTGACCTCCATGGCCCCTGGGCTTGTCATCCAGGTAAGCACTGCCACCATGGAATGTCCCCTGATGAAGGTAGACCCCTTCCCCCTTCAAGGGATGTCCTTTCTGTGCAGGAAGATCAAGGACCAAAGGGAGCTGCTTAGGTCCCTTACCTCCCCGACTTCCGTCAGCTGCTGTCTTTTCCCTCCTGCAGGCTGTGCGGGTGACGAAGCCCAATATCCCTGAGGCGATCCGCAGAAACTACGAGTTGATGTGAGTATCCTCCGCCTGAGCTGTAACCACCACTCTCTCCCAGCTCATCCCACCCCAGCGTTCACTTGTGCCAGGCTTTCATTCCCATCTTGAGTGTTTGTCACAGCCCGTGGCACTGTGGGGTGGAGCAGGCGTGCCAGTACTGTCACCTGGGCTCCATGTCTGTGACTGAGTGGCACGGAGAAGCCCCCTGGAGCAGTGATGCTTTTAGAGGGACCGGGGGCCTTGTCTGTGCTTCAGGCTCACGTCAAAGAAGATAGGAGGCAGAGACAATTAAGTGGGCAGGCAGGGGCATTTTGCTGAAGTAAATTATGCTGTTTCCCACAAATGAGGTATTTCGGAGGAGGAGGAGGTGAGCCATGTCTGCAACAGATCTGCTTTTACCCGGGACATTGAACCACAACCAGGAGACAGGAAGAAGTCTGAGTTTCCCCTTTCTCAGCAGAAGAGTTCGGCTTCTCCAGGGGACAGCGAAGTTCCTCAGAAGCTCTCGCACAGCGACCTCACCGCCGCATACTTTTTTCCCCTTCAGGGAAAGCGAGAAGACAAAGCTGCTCATCGCCGCCCAGAAACAGAAGGTGGTGGAAAAAGAAGCGGAGACAGAGCGGAAGAAGGCCCTCATTGGTCCGGACGTGGTTCTCGGATCCCCTTTCAGGCCAGAGGACTGGGGTGGCGGGCAGCCTCCGGCACAGTATGACCACGGGGCTCTACAAACCCTGGCCACTTGTACGAGGGGCTCTTCGACTCCCAGAAGCAAAGCTGACGTTGTCAGACTGGGGCCAGTGGCAATAAGTTCAGGTTTCCGCATATATCTTAAATGAAAGGAGCCCTTACTGTTCACTCATAATGATGATGGCCAACACTTACCGAGCATTTACTACGAGCCATGAACTTTTCTGAGCTCTTACGTGCAAAACCTCTCACTCCTCACAGCTAGCACGCAAGGGAGACACTTACTTTAACCTCACTGGGCTAAGCTGGAACACAGAAAGTGAAGCCCAGAGGGTAAATAATGTGCCCAAGGTCATATGGCAAGCAAAGTGGTGGGACTGTGGTTCAGATCCAGGGACTCTGCTCCAGAACCTGTGTCCCTAACCACCACACTAGACTATCGTGGCTGGAATAAACTTTTTAGAGAGTACCTCATTCCTTAAAATATTCCTTTAAGAGAAATACCCTTGTGATTTAAGAGAGAGGTTAGCGCTTGTTCCTTGATTTCATCGGAGTGATGACTCCTCCCTTGGGCCCACGTCTCCCCAGTTACTGTCTTGCACTGATGCCGTGGTTTGTGCTCACTGGGATGCTCCGTCTTGGCCCGTGGGTGCCTGTCTGGTCGTCCTCTGGGGCCTGTGTCTGATCTGACCCACGCTCACTCCCCAGGGCTCAGGCGAAAGGCAAACTGGGTCAAACTCCTGAAGTATCAGAGCTCTAAGCCTTTTCTCAACTCCATTCATACAGAGGCAGAAAAAGTGGCTCAGGTTGCAGAAATCACCTATGGACAGAAGGTGATGGAAAAGGAGACCGAGAAGAAGATTTCAGAAATTGAAGGTAAGAAATTCAAGGCAATGAATGCCTGAATTTTCCTCAGACCCCACTTCATGGCAAAGGGGTGAAAACGTCATTTCCTTTGCCCTTTAACCTTTCTTCTAAGATCTCTCGATTTCTTCGGAGCTTCACTTTCTCTCTGCACTTTCACTGTGGGGGAGATTTAGCGTTAATTTTCCACTTCGGGGAGCATTCATTCACTCAACAAATGTCAGCTCTTGGCCACTAGGCGCGCTTACATTAGGCATTAGCAAAAGGGATATTGAACAGTCCCTGCTGTCTTTGAGCTCACAGTCTGGCGTTGGAAGTAAACTAAAAAACGAGGCCAAAACAGCAGCCCTCTCCCCCACGCCTTACCTACGCCCTCCTTGGAAGTCGGCAAACACCATAGCTTTGGCCTCTGAGTCGGCTCGCAGGGACCCTGCACATGGTAAGCTGGGTATGAAGAAGACACGTTTGCACATCCGCAACACTGGAGCCGGAGAGAGTTCCTTTGCTGACTTTCCTGAATATCATTCACCTTCAATTCCTGCCCCTCAGCTCTTACCTCATTCCCACCATTCACCTTTTCCTTCGGGTGGTGTATAAGTATCAAGCAAATTCTAGGACGAAAAGGGGGCCCCAAGGCCCAGCTTCAGGCTCCAAAACGCTGGGTCCAGTTGTACACATTACGGGGCTTGCCAGGCTTTGCAGGGGCTTATCGAGGAGCCAATTAAGATTTTACAAATCAGCAGCTCATTAGGGAACTCGGCAAAACAGCAACTTCTATTTCTTATAAATACCTGTCATCAGGTGCTGAGGGCAGGTAAGTCAGTCTCACGCAGCCAGAACTCCCGCCAGACTGCAGGCTCCTTCTTCCCAGGCCTTTTGCTGCAGATGCTACTCATATGAGACCAGCCTCATTCCCAAGGCAAGGAAGTAAATATCAGAAATGTGCATCACCTTGGTGGAGAGCTAGTCTCAGCAGATTGAGGAAGTATATTGCTTGCATAGTAGAAATTTAAACAGGTCTTAATTCAGACAGGTGTTAGCCCAGACCATAGCTGGTAACTCTCCCAGAGTTGTGCCAGCTTACCCACTGTTAATTAGAAAGCTTCTTGAAATGATTGGTGGAAAGAAAAGGAACTGAGAGGAACTGAACTATTTCATGCTTACGATGTTCGATGCTGGGGTGGACCTGCCTCTGGCTGCACTCACTTTCTCTGGGCCTCTCTTGCGTTTGCCGTGCAGCACGAGAGGGGTGAGGTGGAAAGCACAGACTGGCGACTGAGGCAGGGTCCCTCCCCGGACGCGGAGCCACGAAAGGAGGAAGAGCGCAGAGGAAGAGTGCCCAGGAAGTGTCTCTGGGCAGCCCTGCTTTTCTCAGCAATGCTGTCAAATGAGATGTGGGCCATTTAGCTGAACCACTTCTCCATTTACAAGCATTGCGGGAGGCAACTTAAATCCATTTTAAAATTACATGCAAATGGAGATTAAATGTGTCCATAGAGGTGATAGTGCTCCTGGTAGCATTCAGCCTGAATGTCAGTCCTTTCCCTGCAAAGACAGAGGGTGTTCTGGGGAAAAGTAAATAGGTTTTGCTGACCTCACAGTCAGCAAAAACAGAGAAAGGAAAAAGAAAAGGTGTTGGGCACGGCAACAGACTTCCTCACGACTGGTCCCCACCACGGGGAGATGCTGGCAAGGCCCTCGTTCCCCCATTTCACAGATGAGGAAACCAAAGCGGGGTGGGGGGACAGGAAGCCATCTCCCCAAGGCCGGAGGCAATCAGGGAAAGGGACAGGCACCAGACCCAGTGTTCTGGTGGTCTCCGCACCACGGTCCGCTGCATCCTCCCCCTCAGATGCTGCGTTCCTGGCCCGGGAGAAGGCGAAGGCCGACGCTGAGTGCTACACTGCTATGAAAATCGCCGAAGCAAATAAGGTACGTGCCCAGGGCCGCCTGTTCAAGAGAATGTGCATTTGCGTTTGGGCTGATACTGTTTGAGAGTCCACCCAAAGCCCCTCTTGGCCGGAAGTGACTCCCGCACTGTGTGGAGCAGGCACTTCCCTTTTTCTCAGCAGCGCCTCGGTGGAGGTGCAATGTCTGTGTTAAACACAGAAACTCCTAAAACTCTTGCTGCGCTGGCCTTGAAAATCCGTGGTTACTTTCTCTCAGAGAAGTGGTTACCCTGTTACTGATGTAACAGCCAGACCAGGAGAAGTAGCAGGAGCACATGTCTTTGACAGGGGCCCTCTCCTCGTGACGAGCGAAGGGGTGCCACCCACAGTTCGCCCTCACCAGGCTCCACCTAAGCCTTCGTTTCCTTCTCCTTTTTTTACAGCTAAAGCTGACCCCTGAATATCTACAGCTGATGAAGTACAAGGCCATTGCTTCCAACAGCAAGATTTACTTTGGCAAAGACATCCCGAACATGTTCGTGGACTCTGCCGGCAGTCTGGGCAAGCAGTTTGAGGGACTAGCTGACAAGCTGAGTTTCAGCTTAGAAGATGAACCCTTGGAGGCAGACACCGAGGAGAACTGAAACAGAATTTTTATACAGCCTCAGGTGACACTCAGAGAAAGAGATCTTTATTTTTTAATGACGAGCCAGGATGCTCCTCCCTCTCACACTAGCTTCTTTGTCTTCCACTATTGTGGTGAAAAAGAAGAAAAGGACTTAAATCTATTCCACTGGGAAGGGAGGGCAGGGATTGATGATTTGGGGATTTTATTCAGGGACATAGGTTATATAACTTCTGTTAAGATTTGTAAACCATTGGTTTGACCTTTGACCTCCAGGCATTAATTTTAGTCCTTTGAAGCTGACTTAATTAAGGATGCTATCATAAGGAATGGGAGAAAGAGAGGGTGTTGCCTGTGGATGGTCTGATTTCCCTTCTTCGGGAAAACGCCATCCAGACCTCTCACCCCCGCCTTCAAGGTGGGAAATGCCTGTGGGTGGGGCTCACAGCTGAGCAGACATATGCTCGTCCGTCCGTTTGCCAGGAGAGCCGTGGGCGAACAGCTGCAGCACGTTTGGCCTTCCTGGCGTTCTGTCCGTGCAGGCGCGAGTTATTCTAGAGGCGCACTTCGTGGGCCCTCATAAGGAAGAACGGGTGCTGGGCTTGGCCAGCTTTTCTATACCTGCTGCCCTCCTTGCCCTGAGCCTACAGTGGTGGCTTCTGACTCCAGTGTCAGAGCCAGGGCTGGTCTTCACCACATGATTCTTTTTAAAACTCTTCACCTATTCTGCAATTTGGGGATTGTTTTCCTTCTCAATCTGCTTGTTGGTTCCAGTCAGCATCAAGAAGGCAGGAACAAACAACTCAAGTGTCTTAATAGCAACTAAAGTGGGATCGTTATGTCTGTTAGCAACGAAGGTACCTGCCTGGCAAACTCTGTACGTTCCTTGAGGCCAAGTTCTTTTTATTGTTCTGGAGATTGGTCAGTGAACAGTCTCTGGAAGAGAAGGGAGGGTCATCCAAAAGCATTCCTAATCTTATGGTACATGGCTTGTGCTGGGGGTTTGTCTGGTGCAGGGACATGTCTGTTTTTAAATCCAAGGCTCCAGGCAGCCACACAGGCATCAGACTGAGTCTTCAGTCTCCAGAGACAGATGTGGGTGCAAGGCCGAGTCCATGCCCAAGTCCCTGGGTTGAAGCAGCGGCATCGAAATCTGTTCTGATGTTTTCTTTCTCATTCCTAATTAGGAAAAGTTTGGGTCACTCTGGGAGATTTGGGAAGGGGAGCACGAACACGAGAGAAAGGTTTTCTCGTATCCTGGCATCAGAGTTGAGGGCAGGACAGTCTGTACAGTCCCTGAGTTGTGTACCGGATTGTTCAGCGGAAGACAGCTCTCTGGAGTTAACGTACCAGCAGGTTGGTAATCTCCATGACAAGCTCTGGTTTAGGACTTGGCCTTGTCTCCCTCCCCCGGAAAAACCCCACCCTCCACCCCCTGGCTCGGTGGAACTGTGAATGCTACTTTGTGGCGCAGATCCCCGCCTCTTTTTTGGTCCCATGCTCAGACTTCCACTTTGTCAAATGGCCCCAGAACTGGGCCAGCTTTCTCCAAAGTAGCAAGTTTGGGGAGCTTTCTGCCTGCCCAGGAAGAAACAAAATGTTAACTCTTCTTAATTCAAATGTTGCCCTTCTCTTTTCTAACTTTTGCCTCTAGAATTCTCAAACCACTGGTCCTGATCACTTTTTCTACAAGCAGCCCAATATTCCTGGGAGTGGCAGGTTTGAATACCTTCCAAAGTCCTCACAGAAGGCAGTCAGTCTCCCCAGACCAACGTAGGGTGTCCATCATTAACACGTTCTCACCCTCCTCCCACTTCAGTGCCACTAATCACCTGCTAGGAACAATATGTCAGGTCCACCCCCCCAATTTACATATGTGTCTGCTCCCTCTACTCTGAGACCTGCTACCTAGGCCTCAAAAAACACTACTTCACTACAACTGAATAAGTAGCAAGGGTATCTCAGTCCCTTGGAGTAGCACGTTTGTTCAGGTTCTTATGTTGAAAGTCTCTTAACACTAACATCCTGTGACAGCGTGTCTCTTGTACCAGGTCCTCTGTGATCACGGGAGAGCCCCAGTGCAGTCCTGCAGCCCTGCCCCTCTCGATGTTAATGTGGCTTCCTCTTTAAACAAAAAATAAATGTCGTAGTCCCCACTAGTTTAGATCAGCAGTTGTCTGTACCTGCCTGAATGGTAAGATCATGGAAGTCAGCTGTGTTCTTAGCATGGGACAACTAACCAATCTACCTGTGTGACCTTCTTTAGCACACACTAGAAAATCTGAGCTTAACATTGGAATTCTAAACACGTAACATAAGATGTGACAGCCTGCAGTTTTGTAGGCAGTAAGTCACGGCTGCTATTTATAAGTGGAACTTCTATCAAAATAAGTAACTGTTTATATAATTCAGCTTTTGTAGAATTTTCCAAGGAGAAGCCACCTTGGTTGAATGTTTCTCATTAAACTTTGCAGAAGTAATTCATATTCAGTATTGGTTTTAATCATTTTTTTATATGAGGACAGAATGTTTGCAAGGAAACCAAAGTTTGTTAATAATTTTTATATGACTAAAATAAATTTGGAGAGATCTACAGTCATATTGAGGGAGAAAAAAAATCACTGAATTTTAGCAATACAGCAGGTCCTCAAAAAAACATCATTTCATTCAACGTAGTTCTGTTGTAACATCGACCAGATGCCATAGGAACTCAGCTCTTGTTTATGTCAGTTAGCCTGTTGTAAAATTAGTTTCATCCGACGTCATTTGACTTAAAGTCGCAGAACCTGTGGACAGTGGTGAGGACTTACTGTATATGGATCCAAAACAAGACGTTTCCTAAATGCCCTGTTGCAAGTTCTATGGGTCTGTCTTTCAACCCTGATAAGTTTATCATTTATAGAGAGTAAATAATGAAAGTAAGATCATATTTACTGAATTATCTATTTGAGTTCAAGGATAAAATGTATAGATGCTGCTCAATTTATGATGAGGTTTCATCCCAATAAACCCATCATAAGTTGAAAATCTCATTGAGCTGCCCTGGCCCATGCAGCCTGGTTGGTTGGCGCGTCCTCCCGTGCACGGAACAGGTGCAGGTTCGATTTCCTGTCGGGGCACATACCTAGTTTGCAGGTTCGGTCCCTGGTCAGGACACGTGCAGGAGGCAGCCAATCAATGTTTCTCTCTCTCCGTCTTCCCCTTTCTCTCTCTAAATCAATAAGTGTATCCACAGGCAACGATTTTTTTTATTTTAATTTAAAAATATTAAGTTGAAAATATATTTAATACATCAAAACTTACCGATCGTTATAGTTTAGTATAGCCTACCTTAAATATGTTTAGAATACTTACATTAGCCTACAGTTGGGCAAAATCATCTAACACAAAATCTACTTTTTAATCAAATTTGACATTGTGACCATCATAAAGTCAAAAAATCATAACTGGGGGACAGTCTGTATCTTGGCCAGTGGCTACCCTGTGTCCAAGAACTTGACCAGTACTCTGCTCATTAGGGGTCTCGCCACTGTTTCTGATGTTTTCTTATAACAGAGGTAATGGTCAATCATTTTGTGTTTGTATTTCCATTCCTTTTTATTTCTAGTTTTATGTGAGCAAGTGATCAATCAAACTAGTTCTAGTTTCAAAGAGCCCTGAGGGCTTCATGACCCCTTTGTAACTGAAAAATGATTCTTGTTATATGAGCCACTCTGTAAATGAATGATCTGCTGGATTGCCTTGAGTTGAGAGCTACAGGAATTGTTTTGGACAACACTGAAGATGTGAACTCATGTCTTAGTTTTATTTTCAGTCTTACTAACTGAGTCTTTGTATTTACTTTTTTATCAAAGTGAAATTTAGCACTAGCTAATAGTAGAATAGGTGATATAAGAAATAAAATATCCCTGCCAAGTGAGTGAGTACAAGGTCACCCTAAAAATATATTCAAATGAATATACTGGATCTGGCACAATAACGCCGCTTTTTATTATAAAATCTTTTATTACAAAATCATATGCGTGTAATTCTGTAACATAAAACTATCACATTCACCCTCGCTGGTGTAGCTCAGTGGATTGAGTGTGGGCCTGTGAACCAAAGCATTACTGGTTCAATTCCCAGTCAGGGCACATGCTTGGGTTTCGGGCCAGGCCCCCAGTAGGGGGCACGAGAGGTAACCACACATTGATGTTTCTCTCCCTCTCTTCCTCCTTCCCTTCCCCTCTCTCTAAAAATAAATAAATAATTTAAAAAATATATCACATTCAAGGACACTATGTGACACTTTAGGTGAAATGTTCGAATTGAAACTATAAATGATTACACCCGTATTATTACCGCACTCAAGTGGCCTTCCTGCTGCCAGACCCTGTGTATCCCATTGTCAATGCAGAAACAGTACAAACTCATTTGTAAACACGGGATAATTCTTGGTCGGCGCTATAGAGATTTATAATGTTAAAGAATCCATACATCACTGCAATCCTGCTCCAAAGGGCAGAGGTACTTTTAACTGACCCAAAATTCATTGTGCTATCAACGTGTGATATCGAAATGGCAACCATCCAGTTTGCAGGCTGGCACTCAATCCACTGAGCCACACCATCCAGGGGACAACATAATTTTTAGCATTGAGTATCTCACAAATACTGTATGAGGCACGCTTATACTAAAAAGTTATTCATTGTTTACATAAAATTCACATTGCACTGAGTATACTGTCTTATATTTACTAAATCTGACAACCCTAGCCTTTCTCAGGTTTGGGCGGGTTGGGTTACAGTTTTTTCTTATTGCTATTCTATTACAGTCGTCCCAGTTTTCCCCCTTTGCCCTTCTCTGCCCATCCCAACCCCCACTCCCAATCCCCACACAGTTGTCCATGGGTCATTCATACATGTTTTTGACTGATCCCTTCCCCTTCTTTCCACCATTATTCCCTTCCCTCGGGTTTTTTGATGGTTCCCCCAGGCTTTATTGGTTTGAGACCCTACTACACAAATAATACAAACTTAGTAAGTAAGAATATAGATACTGGAGTAAAACCGCCAAGATTCAAATAATGACTCTACCACTTCCGAAGTATAAGGTCTTGAATAAATTCTTGAACCTGTTTGTGCCTCAATCTCTTCATCTATAAAATGAGCTGAATGAATTAATGAAATCATGCACACAAGGCTTTAGCACTGTGGCTAGCCTGTGTAAGGATTCAAACATACTTATTTTCCATCATCTGGAAAAATAGGCTAGAAAGTACACAGCTATTAAGTGGGTACCACTGAGGAGAAAATCAGATGTGATAACACAGAATAAGATTACAAATAGGACAGCCGCAGGGGAGGAAGGAAGAAGGGAAGGACACCGCAGTGCAGCAGACACGGTACTGAGAACACACACCTCCGCAGAAATGTAACGTGTAGAAAACAGCCTGGATTGACCCTGCCGAGAGTCCGAATTGCTGTGTTCTGGGCTCTATGGAGAAGAAAGACTTTAAAAGGCTAGAGGAAAAAGAAAACGTTAAAGCCAAAAGGGAAATGTAAGTGAAAAATAAAACTCATAGGTTGACCCCCAAGAGAGGCAGAAGGGAAATTCACCAAACCTACATTTATAAAAGTTGCATAATGGTTGGCAAGGTATTTTCTTCTGATTCTTCAGAGACCAAAGAGGAGGAATTAGCTTGCAGAATACGGTAGTTTTAAAGATTTTACTTAAGACTGGCTAAAATTTGAAATGGGTAGAAGTATCTTTCTACAAATAGAAAATAAATAAATCTAGGGATAAGCATGGATAACATTTTTCTCTCTGGTGGTCTCCAGAAATTGGGGAGATTCTATGGTTTAAATGTCATTCTTTCTATATGAAAGATCAAATGCTCTCTAAAGGTCCTCTCCAAGTCTGGGGTTCTAGAATCTATATTGACATTTCAAAAGCCAGATGTGACAGCATGTTTGCTGACGGATTTCTGTCAGGGCTACTCGGCCCGAATTCATTTAAACCAGGACATGAGCACTGTTTCTCCATTTCTCTTCAGAGCCAAGTAACCAGGCAACAGTAATTTTCTATTATTTTATCTTTTTTTATCCCCCAAAAGACTCAGAGTAAGCTCAGAAGGAAACAATTTTAAAATCCATAAATGTTTTTCTCATAATTCAAGGCATTAGAGGACAGGGGTAATGTTTTAAAAGCTTCGTGGCATTTATGGCGAGTAAGTATACTAGGTTTTAGATTATTTATGGAATCTGTCCCTCTGGGTATTTGGCTCTTTAATCTTTCCCTTTCCCCTTTGTCCTTGCAAACTATTAGAGAAATATAAAGACAGTTAACTAGCGATAAAGTGATTTTGAACTTGCATTTTTCAAGGATTAGGTAGTGGAAAAGCATAAAAGGTTATAGTAGATGTTTGAGCCCCCGCCGGTGTGGCTCTGTTGGGCATCATCCTGCAAATGGAAAGGTCACTGGTTCAATTCCCAGTCAGTGTACACGCGTGGGTTGCGGGCTTGATCTCTCCCATTTAGATGTTTCTCTCCTCCTCTCCCTCCTTTCCCCTCTCTTGTAGTAAGTAAATAAATAAACAAATAACCCTGGCTGGTGTGGCTCAGTGGATTGAGTGCTGGCCTGTGAACCAAAAGGTCGCCAGTTTGATTCCCTGTCAGGGACCCAGAACGGGTTGTGGGTCGGGTCTCCGGTTGGGGGCCTGTGGGAGGCACACACACATTAATGTCTCTCTCCCTCCTTTCCCCTTCTCTAAAAATAAATAAATAAAATCTTTATTAAATATTTTAAAAAATTAATAGATAAACAAGATGGTTGACATCCCAGGAAGAAGAAGAGAAGAATGTAAAAATGGAGAAAACAGTGGAATAAAGTTGATTGAAAAACAACAGCTAAGAAGTAAAGAAATTGAAAAATGGGAAAAGATAATGCAACCGGGGTCACCGGGGTCTTTTTGTCCTTCCATTTTCATCAGGTCACAGAAGGTTGGGGATAAAAAGCATCTTAGAAATGAATCGACAGTAAAGCCTGCCTCCCTCGTCTTGGTCTGGCCCAGGGTACCTCTACAGAGACCTGCCTCAGTAAATGTGCACTAAATGGATAAGCAGAGGGTGGGGGGCAGTTTCAGGGAGCAGTCTTCTAAGTGTATTACGTTATCTTGACTGCTCCTTAATGCAACTCTGAAGGAGATGTTGACTCTATGAATGAAAAACTGGAAAGTTCAGCAACTTACCCAAGATCCCAGTTTAGTGATGAAACCAAGATTCAACTTGTGTCACTCCTGTGCCACCTCCCTCCAATCTGGCCACCACTACACTTACTGCCTTGAAAGTTTAAATCACTCTCCTGATACCCTTTTGGGAGCTACTGTGATGGTGGGGTTAGAGGGATTGACCTTATAATTCAAAGAAGAGACCTGACCTGACCTGGCCTATGGTTTTTCAATGCTTTCCAAATAACAGGTCACTTTAAGTGTTTGGTGCTCACCCAGTTCTTGCTCTATACATCCCTTCCCATGACCTCATCACTGTAATCCCCTTGTTCCTCCCACCACCAACTGCTGGCTAGCACCTTTGAACTCTGTATTTATAGCAAATGTTATTCTATTCACACCATGAAGGGCCATTCTAGGCATTTTTTAATTACCACTTTGGCAGGGCTAGAGACGAAGTCCAAAGATATTTGAATACAATTTCTCCTAATGTCTTTGACAACCCTAGTTATGTGTACCTGGGAAATGGGGACTTCCCAAAAAGAAGTCCTTGATGGCAAGAACATGTGAAACCTCATCTCAGCCCCTGGGGTCTGGGAAGATGATGAGAGAAGAAAGTAAGAATATCACCCGTTTTCCAGTCACTTCAACACAACCTGGAGAACAAACGTGAGCCCTTTCAGCAACAAAATATCATCCCACTTCATTGAGTTGAATTAAATGTTTGAAAATCAACAGTACAACCAAAAACTGCTTTCCCTAACAAAACGGATCTCTTCCTACTTACCCACATCACCTACTATTTCACCACCTGACAAATTTAGCATTTTACCTTTTCATCTCCGTATTGTCTGGCTTCTCTCCTGTTTACGGCTCTCACATTGCCCAGCGCTGGACACATGGGAGACTCAAGAACTAGACCGAATGTGGGCTGAGCTCATGCCAGGCCACCTGTGCACTCCGACAAGGCAGCACTGGCCACAGGTGGCTTCTGCCACTTGAAGTGTGGAGAGCTCCAACTGAGACATGCTATAGGTCAAAACTACACCCGATTTTGGAAACCGGGTGCGATAAAAAGAAAATATCTTGTTTGAAGTTTTTCCATTGGTTACATGTTTAAAGTTTTTTCTGCATATATTGGGTTAAATAAATTGTATCATTACGTTTTTACTTTTTATGTGTCTATTCGAAATTGTTTAATTACATATGTGAGTCACCAGTGCTATTGGACAGCACTGGTCTAAAGGATGCCAAGATGAAACTGTACATCGAGTCATGCCATGTCGTTTATATCTCTCAGCGGTTCCTCACTAGACTGAGATTCTACAAGGGATGTCCTCCACTCTAGCAGCTTTTAATCCTGGTTCCTGCGCACAGAAATCTTGGTTCACAGCTATCTGAACGCCAGGGACTGGGAAATTTGGGAGGCATTTTGAAAGAAAATAGGACAGCAGGAGCAAGCCACGATTTTGCTTCAGAAAGGTTCCACTGAGGCGGGGGCAGCAGTGCATCAGGCGACACGTCCTTGAAGGTTCTCCCGGCGGCACAGAAATGCCCCCCGCGCTCTGCGCCCTGCGCCCTGAGCCCCACCATCCAGTCCAAAGCGACCTCCCCAAGATGGCCGTTGCCAAGGGGCGGAGCCTCCACTACACCGCCCCCGCCCCGCCCCCGCAATGCCCGGCGTCGATTGGACAAGACGATTCAGTGGTGAGCGCTGATTGGAATCCTATGGAGACGTAATTTGGATGGGACCGGAAGGTGGTCTCAACCCCGGGGTACCCCGGTTTGGGTCTCGACGTTGATCCCTAGGGGATGTGGAGAGCTGGCGGCATGTCGGCGGAGCTGGGAGTCGCGTTTGCCCTGCGGACCGTGAACGAGCGCGTGCAGCAGGCGGTGGCGCGGCGGCCGCCGGTGAGGAAGGGGACCGCGTGGGGACAGTGGGCGGCCGCTGTGAGGAGGGGGACACCCGCGTGAGAATGGGTCGTCACGGTGACGCAGAGGGTTCTCCCGGAGGGGCGGGACCTGTCCACCGCCTCGGCGTTGGCACGGGTCGCAGAGCCCCCAGAAGCTAGGGAAGGGCTTCCTCAGTGACCTCGAGGTGAGTCCGTCAGGTTTCCTGGAGGTTGGCTTGGCTGGAACGGAAGGTATCCGCTGCTCCGGGAAAATGACCAATCTCCGGGCATAAATCGCAGCCTTTGCTCGTCCCGCTTCGTGTGGGAGTCAGCAGCCTTAGGGGACGGGGGAAGGGCCAGGCCTGTGCCCAACAGCAGCAAGAGAAGTCGTCTCCTTCAAGAGCACGGCAAAGGAGGCCAGATCTGCCTAATATCACGTGTGTGGCAACGTCTAACACCTAGTAGATGCTCAGTAAATGTCAGTTCCATGTGTAGGCGAAGCAGATAGTATTGAAGATAGTATTGATCGGAGGCACCGAGCTGTACTTTCATGTTTCCAGCACAGGGGAGCTGACATCTAACCCCCTTATGGAGAGAATCCCCCCCACACACACACACACACACACCTCTTATGGTTGTCTCCTCCTGGAATTTCATTAGACCAAGGGTCAGTCAATATCTGCTTCCCTCTGTGCAAGTTTAAGCTGGATGGTGTGGAGTTAGACATACCTCAACAGAGAGGTCAAAGGTTTCTCATCTGTACCTGCAGTGTCAGACTCTGAATGCGGGCCTGGATCTCACAGACACAGAGAGGAGTGGTGGTTGCGGGAGGGGAGGGCCGTTGGGGGAATGGGTGAAAGAAGTACAAATTGGCCGTCACAAAATAGTCACAGGCACATAAAGCATAGGGAGCATAGTCAATACCATTTCATTAGCTTTGTAAGGCGACAGGTAGTACTGGAAGTATCAGGGGAACATATTTAAAGCATACGATTGTCTAATCACTGTGTTGATTTAAACCAATACAAAGTAAGCCATAATTTAAAAATAAAAATAAAACGCACACACATACACACACAAAGAATGTTGGCCTTCAGACAGAAACCTGTACTGGTGTGGCCTTTCCTTGGCTACTAGTTCAATATTACCTTGAACAAGTCACTTAACTACTTTGGCCCAGGGTTTCCTTATCTGCATAGGAAAGGAAATGAACTCTGATTGCTCCAAGCTCACTCCTGGAGTCAGTGTTCTATGATTCTCAGTGATTCTCCAGGATAAACTAGGGGTTTCCCTAATAAACATCATGCTTGGAGATTGTCCCAGCAAATCTGTCCATTCCACATTTCTGTCTGGAAACCATCAATTCATCAACATAATCCCAGGAGTTATGACATGATGTTATGAAAGACTGTTAATATAGCCCTGAGAAAGATGAGGAAATTCTTCGTAATTGGCCTGACTCTTCAGGCCCTTTGGGGATACTGTGATTCTGTAAAAATTGCAAAAGGGTGATGGCGTACGTGAAAACTGAACTCTGTGAGGAGAGGTGACTCTCTTCTCTTACTGCCTCAGTGTGGATTTTGTTGCAGTAGAATTTGGGGAAGCCTTGCTCTTCATGTACTGGCCTTGGGAGGGGGTCGGATAGCTCTAATCCTGAGTCCAGAGGTGGTTTCATGTCCCTCCCTGAGGTCTGCCCCTGGTTCTTCATTAGATTGAACAATAGATTATATAATTAAGCAGGCTGCTTTTGAATGTGACTGGGGTCAACACTAATAATTACACCAGGACCAGAATGAGCTTCCAAAATGGTTAACCTGGAGGTTTCAGAAACCAGAAGTGGCCTTCCTTCTAGTCAGAGAGTGGTGCCTTCCTGTAATGAAGTGATTCTTTTTTTTTCTTTTTAATATTTTATTTATTTATTTTAGAGAGAGGGGAAGGGAAGGAGAAAGAGTGGGAGAGAAACATCAATGTGTGGTTGCCTCTCTAGTGTTCCCTACTGGGGACCTGGCCTGCAACCCAGGCATGTGCCTGACTGGGAATCGAACCGGCAACCCTTTGCTTCACATGCCCGTGCTCAATCCACTGAGCTACACCATCCAGGGCTGACTTGACTCTTAAACCTCCAGCACTGGTGTGCTAGAGAAGCACCTGGAGAGTTTATCTGAAAGGTGATTCTCAGAGTCCAGCCCCAGAGATTCAGATTTAGTAGGTCTGGAGTGAGGCCCAGGTGATGCTGACATAGTTGGTCAAAAACTGCATTTTAAGGAAATGTACTGCTTTTACTAACCTGTCCAGCTCTCCTAAGAACTATCTTTTGCTAGATATTAAAGTAGCTAACATATCAGATTTAAATGCTATGCATTTGGGTTTTTTAAATTTATTTATTTAATTGTTCAAGTTTTCTGTCTTTTACTCCCACATTTGGGTGTTTTTGATATTTTATTTATTTAATTGTAGAAAGAGAAAGGAAGGGAGAGGGAGAGAAACATCAATATGTGGTTGCCCCTTGCACCCCCTACTGGGGACCTGGCCCTCAACCCAGGCGCATGCCCTGACTGGGAAGCAAAGCAGCGACCCTTTGGTTTGCAGGCCAGAGCTCAGTCTACTGAGCCACACCAGCCTGGGCTAAATGCAGTACATTTGAAAGACATACTTCTCAACATGATTTGGTGCTGATCTTCCTGCAGTATTGGAAAAATGGAGCTTACCAAATACCAAGTTAAGATCTATGCTGATCTTTTGTACAAGATCTATCTTACAGGATTTATCAGGATAATGTCCCCAACCATTCACTCATCTGGCTCTCTCTCGGCAGGATCTCCCAGACATTCAGCCCCGGCTGGTAGCCGTCAGCAAAACCAAGCCCGCAGACATGGTGGTTGAGGCCTACAGTCACGGCCAGCGCACTTTCGGAGAGAACTATGTAAGAGCCCTTTTCCAAACCTCCTTTGGAAGAGTCATGTTTGCCAAACTTCTGACCTTCTTTCTTTTTACCCTAAGGTTCAAGAACTGCTAGAAAAAGCATCAAATCCTAAAGTAAGTACATATCTGAAATCTTGAGTTTGTATCTAAATCTCAACATTTCTTTGGAAAATTAGACCCATGTTGGTGGTTGAGTTTTACACCAGGAAGTTGGATTGGTGGTAGAAATGTCTACATTTACCCTGGGCCCCCAATATTTCTCATATAGGTTTTCTTTCTTTATTAAGATTATAGTTTTCTCCTTTGCAGTTTTTTTTTAAATGGTGATTTTTTTAGGAGCTTGCTGTAATCTAGGATCCTTTTGAGATTTGAAAGCTTTAGTCAGTTGATTCTTAATGGATGATATGTAAAAGATGGAGGGATTTGATGGGAACAAGGAAGAGAAACAGAACAGAAGCCTTAGATGTTTTTCTAAGGAGCCTGGCTGAAGATGGTGGTAGTGCTCTATTGCATAGACAGGAAAGGTCAGAAGAGAGAGTATGCAAAGTATTTGAGCCAGCTAGACCTCCATAAAAATCGAAGCCACACCCTGGCTGGTGTGGCTCAGTTGGTTGAGTGTGGTCTCAGGGACCAAAAGGTCACAGGTGCAATTCCTGCTCAGGGCACATACCCAGGTTGTGGGTTCAGTCCCTGTTGAGGAACATATGAGAAGGCAACTAGTTGATGTTTCTCTCTCACATCGATGTTTCTCTCTCTCTCTCCCCCCCATCACCCTCCTGTCTCTAAAAGCAATAAAAAAGTGTCCTTCAATGAGGATAAAAGAAAAAAATCTAAGTCAAACATAGTTACCTTTTTCTTTTCAGGTTCTGTCTTCATGTCCTGAGATTAAATGGCACTTCATTGGCCACTTACAGAAACAGAATGTCAACAAATTGATGGGTAAGATAAAACTCTAAATATGATGATATGATTTTTCTTTTTTAGTTTATTAACATGTTGAATTACATTTATTGATTTTCATATGTTAAGTCAACCGTGCGTTCCTGGCAATGAACTTCACTTGGTCATAAAGTACTGTCTTTTCAATGTAATGTTTCATTTGATTTGTTAGGTGGTGTTTGGAATTTTTGCATCTATATTCCCAAGGGACATTGGTCTCTAGTTTCCTTTTCTTGAACTGTCTTTATTTGGGTTTCCTATCAGGGTAATGCTGTCCCCATAGACTGAATTGGGAAGTATTCCATCCTTAAGCCTCTGGAAGAGTTGGTGTGTGGAATTAGTGTTATCTCTTCCTTAACTGTTTGGTACAATTTACCAGTGAAGAACAGAAATTACTTTATGGAGAAGTTTTTAAATATCATTTCAATTTCACTAACAGATATAGGGCTGTTCACAAAATCTCTTTCTTCTTGGATTACCTTTGGTACTACGTGTCTTTCAATAAATCTGTCCATTTCATTAAATTAATGAATTTAGGGGCATAAGGTTGTGTGTAATTCCCTTCATTATCTTTTTTTTTTTAAGATTTTATTTATCTTTAAAGGGGAAGGAGAGAGGGAGAGAAACATCAATGTATGGTTGCCTCTAGTGCATCCCCTACAGGGAACTGACCTGCAGGGAACCTGCCTGCAACCCAAGCATGTGCCCTGACTGGGAATCGAACCGCGATCCTTTGGTTCACAGGCCCGTGCTCAATCCACTGAGCTACACCAGCCAGGGCCATTATCTTTTTTAATATCTGAAAAGGCTGTAGTAATGTCAACTCTCTCATTCCTGGTATTAGTAATTTCTGTCTTCTCTTTTTTTCTAGTCTCTCTGGCTAGAGATTTATCCGTTTTCTCAAAGATTGATTTTATTTTTCTCTATTGTTTTATTTTAATGTTATATAAGCAAAAACAATGATGTACTGTGGGGTCTCTAACATGTAAACACAACATACATTACAACAATAGCATAAAGAATAGCTAGGAAGAAACAGAAGTTCACTATTATAAGATTCTTAGACTTTATGTGAAGTGGTGTAACACCATTAAAGGTAGACTGTGATAAGTTTAACCTAAGGTATCCAATAAAATAACACAATACAGAGTTAGAGTAGTAAGTCAGCAAAGGAGATAAAATGGTATTAAAAAAAATATGTCAAGTGGTATCTTGTGATGGTTTTTATTCTCATTTCCCTTGTGACTAATGAGGTGAAGCACCTTTTTGGGTGCTTATTGGACATTTATATGTCTTCTTTGGAGAAATGTCTTCTCAAATCCTTTGCTCATTTTTTAATGGGGTTATTTATCTTTTTATTGAACAATAAAAGTTCTTTACATATTCTGGATACCAGGCCTATCATAAATGACTAGCAAATATGTCGTCCCACTCCACGGGTTGTCTTTTCACTATCTTGATGGCATCATTTCTAGTGCCCCCATCCTGCAAAGTTCAAGAACACGGTAATATCGTGCCAGAGAAGCCCTTCGGCTTCCACTGGTTATTCTTTCCGCCCTGTCCTCCTGATCTGTTTCTCTCAGTTGGAAGTGAGGTGAGCCCTGCGACTGTCAGCCCCTCGCAGTGTGCGGCCACGGTGCTGCAGGACTGCAACGCGTCACTGCGGCACGTCAGTGTCCTCCGCTCCTCATTCGTGTTTGCTGGTTAGACAGTGATGGCCTAGCACTTGAACTTACATCTGGTAAAACTTTCACATTAAGTCTTCTTAGTAGAACTGAGACTTAACTGTCTTTCTCTCTTCTGAAAGATTACTTTTCCATCCACCAAAAGCTGTTGCTTGCTGCACTGAGATACATGAAGAATTTCCTTGCTTCTTTCTCGTTTCAGCTGTCCCCAATCTCTTCATGCTGGAAACACTGGATTCTGTGAAGCTGGCAGACAAAGTGAACAGTTCGTGGCAGAAAAAAGGTTCTCCCGAAAGGTTAAAGGTTATGGTCCAGATTAACACCAGTGGAGAAGAGAGTAAGTGACCAGAACTGTATTGTAGATTTTTCCTCCCCTTAGGATGCTGGAAGCCCAGGAAGAATGCTGGCCTAGTTTACCTGATAACTAAGGTGATCGAAAGAAATCACAGACTGTTAAGTAAGCTGTGTTATGTAGGATCTAGGTGGCACAAGGGCATCCATGCCAGCCCACATGGTATGCTTTAATACATCATGATTTGTTATTAATTTTTGAGGAGGTAGACGGAGAATCAAGAAGGGGATTGTGATTTTGATCTCCTGAAAATTCCCAGAAGTCACCATCACTTCCGAAAGAAGTTGCAAAATTATATGAGAAGTCACTCTTCTTGGGCCCTAAAAAATAAATTATTTAGTGTTACATTGGGAGAAACTAGAAGGAAAAGCAGTGTGAGTGTCCGGCAGTGAATATCATTACAGGGCTAACAGTGTAACACGGGGAGCAGAGCACAGGCTTTGAAGTCAGACGCACCTTGGGTTTGGGCCCCACCACTTTCCAGCTTTGTAACCTCGCACAGATCACCTATCCCCATACCTCGGTCTCCTTGCCACACAATGACAATGGGATAGCACTGTTGTGAGGACCAAATGTGCTCGCACAGGTGAAGCCACTGGCATAGAACCTTGCACGTCTTACTTGTTAGCAGTTTGTTTACAGATCAGTCACTTGCTTCCAGCCATCAGAGCACCCATATTCACCAGATCTGAGCATGGAGGAGCTCAGTATAGGCCTCTGTTTTCCAAATAGGGGCTGGAGTCAGGCTACCTGGGTTCAAATCTAGGCCCACAGTGTCTATTTGTGTGACCTTGGAAATGGTACTGAGCTTCCATGTGTTTCATGTTTAGAACAGAGATAGGAAGAATACTCACTGAATAGAGCTACTGTATTACAAGAGAAACATTTAGGATTTGCCACATATGCCTGGCACACCAGTAAGTGTTCAGTAAATTTTAACAATTATCGTAAATCTGAAAAAGACTCCAGATCAAATCTGTCACATCACTTCTTGATAATTAGCTATAATCTTCCCTGATTAATTATTGAAATAAGTGTTCTTAGCATCTACATTTGATAAATGAGGGAAAGACAGTGTCAGTATCCTTATAACTGCATAAGAAACAGTCAGCTGTGCAGATCCCTCCTCTAGTGGTTAATTAGCAAGTTCAGTTAAATGTACCAGATATGTAGTCAGAACTGTGATATATACTTTATTTTACATTTTTACTATTTTACTAATAAATTATTAAAGCTATAGAAATACCGGGTTTGGGGGGGAAAGCTCTGAGGTCAATCTGGCATTTTGGCAATGTGAATCTTCTTGGTACCCCAAGAAAAGCAGTGTTTTTTCTTTTCTTTGTACTCTAGCTGTTCTCAGCTCAGATATTGTTACAGAATCGTGAGAGTTCAACGTGTAGCTCTTCTCTTGAGAAATTCAGAACCTGACCAGAAGGGGAACTATATGCAGACCTCAGACATAAAGTTACTGTTTTGGACTTGAGAACAAGAGACCCTCTTGTCCGAGGATTGCCTCCTCTGTTACAAAGGAGGGGTGAAAATGGACCCTATCTCTGGCTACTTAAAACATTTTGATACAAGGGTTCTCAATTTCTTTTAATTTTTATTTTGTGTGTGTGTGTGTGTAAAGGCAAACATGGCATTCTACCATCAGAGACAGTAGCCATGGTGGAACACATAAATGCCAAGTGCCCCAGCCTGGAATTCGTGGGGCTGATGACCATAGGAAGCTTTGGGCACGATCTTAGTCAAGGACCAAATCCGGACTTCCAGGTACGGGGACCAGGGATGGGGGGTCGCCCAAGTGCTAAAGGAATGTCTTAGCACACTGCCGCCGAAGGGCTGGCTGTTTGTGCAAACTTCGAAGACCCCCAGGTGCCGTCTGTCAGAGGTTATAACCCTCTTCCAAAATGTTTCCTCCAGGAAAAGAGAGCAGGTCTCCAAAACCCTACAGAGCTTTCTCAGCTCAGTCTGAACCCGGCTCAAACACACTCTTTAGAGAAAACGAGCTCCTTCTTCTTCTGGAACTGAGAGTTTTCTTTCTGAAAAATAGGATAATTTGAAGGAAAAAACGCTTTCAGTAACTCCTGGCAATTCTGACAGACCTTGAAACCATGAAAAATAAATAACCTTTGTCAGAGGTGTTCAGATCCGCCGCTCCCAGGCACCTGTGGAGAGGCAGGGATGAAACAGGTGTCGCACGTGTCTTTCTGTCAGATGTTGTCGTCCCTCCGCGAGGAGCTGTGCAGGAAGCTGAGCATCCCCACTGGCCGGGTGGAGCTGAGCATGGGCATGTCCACGGACTTCCAGCACGCAGTGAGTGTCCTTCTGGGTACTGTGTGATGGCGGGGTCCCAAAGGCCACAGCGAGAGCCAGGTTTTGCTGGAGGAACCTTTGAAGTGCCTCATTGTAGCAATAGGGCATCCAGTAGCAGTGGTTCTCAACTCTTCTAATATTCTCCACCCCTTCTTTATTTATGTATGTGAGTGTGTATTTTAAGTATATGTTATCATCCCCTTCTTTTTGAAATGAAACGTATAAAACATATAGCCTAACACGTAATTTAATTTTCTAGCATAATTCCCTAAATGGAATCTAAAGGAAAATAAGAAGAAATTAAACCATAATTTTCTAAAAGACATCTTGCTATGTAAACACTTATATATAGATACATGACAGTAAGTCATGATGAAGTCTGAGGCTTAATCTTATGTGTAGATCCAACGTACACGGTACAGCTGTGCTGTATTGTCAGCTCAAATGTGTGATCTTCTGGAACAGTAAGTAACAAAGTTGCAGAAATCAAAGAATAAACTTCCCTCTGTGTAGACAGTAGTTGCATTGCTGGAAAATTGTATAGATTAAAACAGTGCAAAAATACTTTGTGTTTTTGAGTAAAATGGAATTAGATCCCATACAGAGATGATGATAAGGCTTTTTCATCTGCCCGACCAGAGAATTTGAGAGAGCGTGTGTGCTGCTGTGTGTCTGTCACACACACATACACACACACGCTGGGACGTGTGCTATACCTGTGAAAGCCAAAGAAATCCTTGCTTGTTTCTGAAACACCCCTCTGAGGTCATATCGCCCCCGAGGAAAACCACTGTCCTCCCCCCACCCCCACCTCAGCTGCGTCACCATCCATCCCCTCAGAGGCCCCTCGAGAGCAAGAATGAGAGGCACAGCTTCAGTACCGGCTGCGTTCATTAGCTCACACTCAGCCCTCAACACGTGCTCTTCTCTCCCACAGATTGAGGTAGGATCTACAAATGTTCGCATAGGAAGCACCATTTTTGGAGAGCGAGATTACTCAAAGAAACCTGCCCTGGACAAGTCCGCGGCAGACCTGAAAGCCGCAGTGGAGGTGACACAGGCACACTGAGCTGAGGAACAGCCAGCAGCGGCTCGCCGCCCTCGGGCCCCGTCGGGGAAGACTGACTATGCACTCACCTGGGTTTCCGCTCTGATGTTCCCCAGGTTGTAGCACTACCGTGCTCTCCTTGTGACCTGGTGAGAGCACGCGGAGGATCGTGTGTACTGATGGAAACCATCTGTGTTCCGTGTCTAACAAAGGAGGCTCGCTTTACGTTGTAGCTTTGTATTGGATCTGAGAAATCCCGACATTTCTGCAGAGCAAATACCAAATCAACAGCGGGGAATTGAGTTCAGTATTGAATCCTGTCCAGGAGCACCAACCAACCCATGAATGCCTTCCCCAGGTTAAAACTAGGTCACAGATGCCTGTAATTACCAAAGTCAGAGGAATTCCCATTTGTCATTGGCTGTAACAGAAAATTCCCCGTGATTACCAACTTCATGGAAAGCCCTGCTGAGTAATCATCTCTGCTGCTCTGGAACAAGGTGGTTTTGCTGCCCCCACCCCGCCCACCCCACTCAGTAAATATTCCTCTCTACTCTGGAATAGAAGTACAGGTAACTTCAGGAAATGGTTCCAGTTAATGCCCCAAACCCAAATGATTGTTGACGAGAATTTGTCATTGACTACCCTGTCCTGTTGACCCTGAAAATTGTAGGGGTAACATGAATGGGACTTGGGCCTTTCTAACATCCTCCTGAAGAGACAGGGCTTTGAGCTTCCCCCCCCCCCCCCGGGCCCCACAGAGATGAGGAGTTAATGATATGATTCTCTTACGGTGATTTCTTATCAAAGACCAGTGATTCTTATAGCTCCCCAGATGTGTAAGGTTCCTTCAAAGCCAGCTCAGGTTCACAGTCTCAACCAGGCCAGACTGACCTTGAGGTCCCTGTTCCGAGGAGCACTTTCCAGGCCCCCCCTTGCCTCCACCCCACGCGGACACACTATTTATAAGCCGGAACTGCAGCTCTTCTTGTTAATGGAGCAGCAGGATACTTTGGGCTGGGCTGTTTATTACTTAGATGGCTTTTTCTTATTTCTTCAAGCCCCACTCTGTAATTTTATGAAATAACTTTCAGAACTGGATGCTGCTGAATGTAATTTTGTAAAACTGTAACCGGTGTGATCCCTGTACTCTTGGTCAGAGCTAGAGTGTGGTATTTCAGAGTCTATTAAATAAAAATGTGAGTTTGAATTATGCCATCTGTGCCAATTACAAAGCAATTAAAAGATTTATTTTTTAAGATCTGGTGGAGTGAGTGAGTGTAACAGGAGAGGGGCCTTGGATCTGATAGGATGCAGCTGTGCCCGTCGCTGGCCTCACACCAGCGGCTTTGGAGGAGGGCTTCCCTCGGGTCACAGATGCCGCCAAAGCCACACCATGGATGAAAAGGGGATTCTGAACTTGCAAGGGCAAGAAAATGAAACGTTGGCATTTCAAGAATTAACAAAAATAGAAGTTGCCTACCTCTTGCTGCAAGATACTTTTAAATTGCCTCTAGATGGCGACATTGGCTAGCCTGCGGGGGCCTCTACGGTCAGCTCGGTACCTTGTAAGGGGCTCACCCTTCCTCTCACACCCTCTTTCCCGGGCAGACGTGGAGGTCAGAGAGGACAGGATTTTCCCAAGCGATAGGGCTGACTCCTGCAGAGCCGCTAGGTTCCTTCAGATACGCCCTTTGCTGACTCAGCTGAGGGTTCTGACGGAGGCTGTGGAGCACTTCGGGAAAGGTGAAATGGCCTAAGCAATAACGGGCTCTGGGGCTTGTGGCCAGACATGGAGAACAACAAAGGAGGTGAGCCACGGAGGCTGAATCAAACCTGGGTAAGGGAAGTAGACCAAAGTATGTCTCTCCAGAGTACCCACTGCAGCCCAGGGCTTCAGCAAAGAGAAAATGGAGCAAAGTTGTGACTGTCTTTTGTTATTCCACACGATGGTCTGGAAACTTCTAGGTTTTCATCAAAGCAGTGACGGCATCCTCAGCAGTTTCCTGAGTGACAATAGCATGCTGCCCGAGGTCAGACCCACCCAGACAGCCCAGCAGCCTGGGCCCTGGTCTGCCTGGTGCCGGCCTCGGGTTTGCGCGCCCCAAGGCTCCCAATAACCCATCGAGGCTTTGTCCTCAGGAAATACATCATGGATTCTGACTGCCGCATCTCTCAACAAAGCAGCCTCTCAATGCTCAAATTGTACTTCCTGCTCCTTAAAACATTCATGGCCCGTAAAGTGCTATCTTGTATAGCCTCTCATTTTTGCCCACAGCATTTGGTAGGGGAATGTAGGCTATTTGCCAATACCCCTTTGTGGACTGGGCACTTGTCTGAGGTCGGAGCTGGCTGGGGACAGGGCAAGAAGTAAGTTCGAGACTCTTAATTCCTAGTCCAGAGCTTGGCCACTGCACCACACTGGCACCTTCTGTTGTCCTGGGCTTCAACAATGGTAAGTGGCATATTCTTAGATTTACAGGCTTAATTCATAAGAAACTTCCTAACATAAAAGAAGTGTGTGTTTTTAGTCTATTGTAGCGTTGAGAACTGACACATCCTCATGCAGAACAAACTCCAAACTACAAGCAGTGGGCGTGAGAAAGAAGGAGAGAATCGCACCTGACCTGGGTGGAGTGAGCCTTCCCTCCTGTCGCCCATTCTCCCCAACTCCCATCTTGCTCCCCCACAGTCAAACTGCCCCACAGTCTGCAGGCTCCGAGTGTGTGCCCTTCGTGCCCTGGAGGGAGACTGGCGACAAGTTCTGTCCTCCAAGTCTGGACAAGAAGGAATGACGTCCAATGGGACATTCTTTTTTTTTTTTTTTTTAAAGATTTTATTTATTTTTTAAGAGAGGGAGAGAAACATCAATGTGTGGTTGCCTCTCGCACGCCCCTTACTGGGACCTGGCCTGCAACCCAGGCATGTGCCCTAGACTGGGAATCAAACCAGTGACCTTTTGATTCGCAGGCAGGCACTCAATCACTGAGCCACTCAAGCAGCCAGGGCCAATGGGACATTCTTAAAATCCAAGACATCTTTGCCCTTCCAGAAAAAAAAAAATGTGGCCTCGTGCTTCCTACCAAGGCTCTGAAGGAGGAAGGGCTCGCCCACCAGTTCCTGAAGGGCTGTGATAAGGGTGGATGTCATTATGGTGCAATTGGAAATGATTTGCTCTGGGAACTGTGGCTGTCTTTAGCATGAAATCAGTGGACTATTACATCAGCCTCATACTAAAGGCAAAAGAATCCAAACCATCTACCAAGATGTTTTACTAATCTGCCCTCTCCCCTCAGGAAGCACGTAGGTAAAGAAAAGAGCTTTCTTTCCCGTCCAGTTTGCATGGACAGCTTTGTGTGGTTGAGTAGCAGTTTACAAGGTAGAGGCCCTTAACCTTAAGTTTCTCTCCCATAATCACTTCAAGGTCCCCAGGAACCTCAAAACTAACACTTTTTTCCTATAAAGTCCAGCACAGATAAGTCGAAATGGCCCCATGTGGGGACTGAGAGGACACTTTAGGTCCCTCCTTATATTGAAAATAAATTTTACAAGCTCAAGCTCTTGAGCTTTGAGATCACTAAGGAGTGGAAACCACCCTTGGTGTGCCGGAGTTGCCTTCTAAACAGACCCCCCCCCCCCCACGGGCACTGGCTGCACTCGCCCCATGGCATGTGCTCTGGCCGAGGGAGTGAGCAGCGCTGCTCTCCATCCTCGGAGCTGAGCTTGACCCAGCTGCCAATCTCCAAAATAAAATCAATGTGTGACCTTATTCACCAGCTGTACCGAAGAAACTAGCACAAACTAGGGCCAACTTTGAAGCCAAAAAGGGAAGATGAGATGTTGGGAGAGAAAGGGAGGGGGGAAATCTTGGCTGGACATGAAAGGTGTCTTGTCTGTCTGTTCCCCATTAGGCGCAATTCTCTTGCAATCTGCAGCCTCGATATAATTCTCTTGACCAGAAACTCTCCAGAGAGATAGTGTCAGAAGGAAAAACAAAGAGAATAGCATCTCTGGCAGCAAAGTCACTTAAAAGCTTATTTGGGAGGGAGGGGTTGCAGGAAGACACCACGGCCCGTAGGGGAGGGGAGCCCCAGAGAGGGCTGCGTGCGAGGCAAGGCCAGCCCCAGGAAGCACAGATCCCAGTCCTCTGCCCTCCCAGCCCCTCTGCTGCCTCGAGATCCACCACCTTGTGCAGCTTTCTCAACTGTACGCGGAACATGTAAATCCGTGGTACAGGGTTTCTTATGGCCCCATGGTGCGTTGAGGGGATCCAGGAGGTTTGCTATAGTTAAAAAGTGGTCCCAATTTGTCCTAACTTCACTTTCCCATTTCTGCCCACCACCAGCAGCCACAGAACCAAGCTATTTTTGTCAGCTGGCAGCTGGCTCCCCCTGCAGCGAAGGCCCATTCTCCCCAAGCCCCTTTCTGACCTGCCTCTGAGCTAAGCCAGCTAGTGTTAGGGAAGCCAGGCCCCACCCTCTCCTGCAGGCACCCAGGGGGTAAGGACTCTGGAGTGGAGGGTGCAGGGAAAGAGAGGGTACAGTTCTGTGCTCAAGTTTCTGGGGCAGGCATCCTGTTTTAAGAGAGAACTTTTTTAAAAGGAATAAAAACTAATCAGAAGAAAGAAGCAAGAGTCTTTCCCTGCCTTTCGGACTTGTTTATTACTGGGATATCTGATTTCAGCAGAGGAAGCCGGCACTGAAGCAAGGTTTTTATTGGCCGTGAGCAAGAGGAATTCAGGCTTTGCCTTTGATTTGGCTTCCCCAGAACATGAGGCATTGAAGAGCGCTCGCTGCTTTGATGGAGCAGCTCAGGACTTGGGGGCCCCCAGAACTCCCTGCTTTCTGTAGCACCGACTAAAACTCCCTTTGGGGTATGAGGGTGGAGCTGGGGTCCCAGAGTGGAAGGTGGCCTCCTAAACATTTCAGAGAGGAGAGCCAAATAGGGGGCAAAGGTACAAAGTTCTGAAACTGGCTCCTGGGGAGCAGAAGGGAGGCCATGCTCACTGCCCCCCTTCCCCTGAGTGGGGACCTGGAGGAGGGAAGGCCTGGTTTGGATGAAAGCACAGTGTCTCCAGCAGACAGAGCCGGGCAGGCTGCAGTCAGGACTGACCTGATGGTTTCAATGTGTGAGGAAGATAAAGCCAGAGATCTACAGAGGCAGCCTCTGCCAACAGCCCTCCTTGGCTGGGGCCTGGCTGGCCCCTGCAGAGGCCGGATTACCAGCTGGGCCCCAGGCTTGCAGAGCTGCTGCTGATCCCCAGAGCTCCCCACAGACACCTCCACACACATGCGGCCGCTGTTCGGGGTCTGGAGCCCCAGCCGGCCTCATTTGCCTCCTGCTGGCTTTTAAATGCGGGCATCTACACCCCTGGAGAAGGAGAATGTCCCTCCCTTTGAGTCTTCTGCGTCTTCCTTTCTCCTTTGTGCCCTTGGAGCCGGTTCTCTAAGTATCCCATGCTTTGTCTAGTATCAAACAGTGAGGGAGGGGTCAGCTGCTGTGGGTGCTAGGACTCGGGGACCCACACTGACTGTAGAGGGCAGCCCCTCTCTTTTCCAGGTTTGTGACCAGGGACTTAGGTCCAGGTGGGAGTCACCTTCTCCCTCGCTGTGGGTGTGGGCCCTCACAGGCACTTCTGTGTGTGCCTCTGGGACTGGGACTGGTCACGGGCCTGTCTCCAGATAGAGCATGCGCCTCGGCTGTGGGGCTGGCTGTCCCTAGCGTGGCCCTGCTCACCTGGGAGGCCCAGGCCCAATTTGGCAGCCACGGCGCTGCTTGGCACTCTGAGCTGAGGCCCAGAGCCTGGGGCACGGGGTAGGGAGTGGGGAACAGGGCTCCCACTGTGTCCACTTCAAGGAACCCAGGTATCAAAAGGACTTTATACAGTGAGTTTAGGATCATACAGGGAGAAGAGCTGCAGGAGTGAAAGGAGGTCCCCACCGGAGGGAGGCGGGAAGCACGCACAGCATCTCGGTGCTTGCCCCAGGACCCTCACCCCGGTCTGTGTGGGTTTGCATTCCAAATCTGCTCTTTACCCGTCAAATTAACTTGGGCTAAAGAATGTATGCCTTGGCACCTCAGTTTGCTCATCTGTAAAGAGGGATGATATTAAGAGCAACTGGCCCATGGTGTTATTGTGAAGTTTAAATGTGATCAAGCATGTAAAGTGCTGTACACAAAACCTGGTGCGAAGCGCAAGCTTAATCAAGGTTAGAGACCACGCACTGGACCCAGCCCAGCTGGCCTGTACAGTCCGTCTGA